CGGGTCCATTTTGGGTGCTCCGGTTTGTTTACGTTCATTACGGAAGTAGAACTTCTTCTTCTGTGATTTTTTTTAAGGAGAGTTTACCACGCTGCACATGTCAGTACTTCTGTTCTGAATAAAAGCTGCTGCATGTAAACGCTCGTCGTGAACGGCTCGTGCCCATGTAAACGATACATTCGGATTATTTAATCCAAATACATTTCAGTCCGATGAAAGAATTCTGCGCATGTAAACATAGCTACTGTTACACTGGTCTCCCTTTCATTCACACACATGGATCCTGTTGGCTTTTACTAACTTCCATCCCTCTTCTCTCCAGAGGGTACAGTGAGACGCCATCAAAATGACGCAGAATTTCAAAGTTTGAGGGGATCACACATTCTCTTGTGCTGCTGTAACAGATGGTAAAATGAGTGTCATTGTTGTTTACAAAAAAAGTAAAAAAGCACTGTGACTAAATGCACTCGAGGCCTTCCATACTAGCGAAATATCTGAAATTTGGGCACATCTTTTTATAAATGTTAAATGTTATAAAGTCAGACGATAAATGGTCTAACAACAGCTTTATGGCAGGAGAGCAAGATTATTATCAACAACAACTGAAGTGTTCATCTGGGCATCCACAAGTACTCAAAATAAATGGCTTGCACTTGTATGTGGCACTGCGTAAGCACTTCCTCATTTAGCCTTTGTGTCTGGCATTTAGTTAATTGTACATGGAGCTCAGTGGAAAGCGGTGCAATATAAATAGCGCAGGGCTGTCATTGAGAAACTGAGAATTAACATTATAAGGCTCATTACAGAGTCAGCGTCAGTTTGAAAACGAAAAGCAAAAACTGCACTCAAAGTTGCTTCGCATACTTTTACAAACGAAATAACCGGCGACACTAAATTAAACGGACAGGCTCGGGTTGTAGCACCACACCATTATCGTCTCCTTAACCACTTCACCTAGTGCTCATCATCCAGACTCGAATCCCCTTCTAACTGCTGACATCAATTGAGAAATGCTTTCGACTCAGCATGCGATGTGTGGCGCCTTCATTTGCAGCTCTGCACCACGCACTGTGCCTATAAAAGCTGATAATGTGATAATTAAAAGAGCTGACAGGCAAGAACTGTCAGCCACATTCTGATTTACCAACCTCTGCTGTTTGTTATACCTCTCAAATTACAATGCTTCCTCCCTTGAAGTATAACACATGAAATATCAAATGCAATAATTAACTTAGCTAGAAGTGAGATGGAAAGAAAGCAATATAAAGGGAAGGAGTCTCTGTAGAGGACATTTTGATGTAAAACTGACTTAAAAAACACCATCAAAGGACATGATTCAAACCTGAGATATGGATTTTAGCAGACAAAAGATCACCACCATCTCTTTCTCTCTCAACCACACCATGATTTATTACCTGAAAAGACAAGAGAACTAATTAGTGGAGTAATTAATTAATATAAATTTGCATATTTGCATTTGCAATTAGTGCAGTCAACTGATTAGTCTGAGATGGGGAGTTTGACTCTTCAGATGCTGCTGCTGGTGTGTGTGTGTGTGTGTGGGGGGGGGGGGGGGTACTGGACCAGAACGATCAGACCAGTTTATGCATTTTAGGTGGTGGTGGTGGGGGGGAAGTGCTGAAAAGACTATTTTTTGTTTGTTTTTTTGTCTTTTTTTCTTTTTACATTTTCAAGCATGTGTGCTCATACAGTATGTGACTGTCCACACCCGCCTGTATTTGTGTGAACACATGCTCGCTGTAACGTCTCGCTCACATTTAGGTGAGGTGTTGGAACATTCACCACGTCGTGTGTGTGTGTGTGTGTGAGTGTGTGCTGTCACTGTTGCTGCTGAAGGTGCTACTGCGCCGGGCTTTCTGAATTCGGCAACCTCATACTGATCAAAGTCTTCTAATGTCCAATACAGATTGATAAGTTGTTGTAATTGATTCTCCTTGCAACAAGGTCACTCACAGAGAAATGCATTTCTGTGTGCAATGTGTGTGTGTGTTCCACATAACTGAGGAGTGCATATACCCATATCGAGTGCCAGCTGTGCCCCAGCGTGGATTTGGCAGCAAGCCATTGGGCCTTCTCCATCGGGTGTGCTTAATGTCTATGATAGTAAGGCAGCAACACTGTGAATAATCTTCGGCTTGCAAGTCGTCCACTGGAATTTCTTAATCTGTTTTGCAAAAAATACAAACAAAATCTCTGGTTATACTTCTTTTCTCGTTCTGTCTGTAACCATGTACTTTGTGATGGCCATGAAAAGACTTAACACCAATAATAACTCTGTAAAGTAAGATATTAAGTTTGATACATGAGGTGACTTTATAAAGACTGAAATGTTTTAAAAAACAAAGGTTTTTCTTTCGTTCCTAAATTGTGATTCTAAATGGGGCAGGACGATCTACAGAAATATGAAAATGTAAAATCCAAAACCACATAAAATAAAAATGTACCACTTTTTTCATATTATTCAAGAAAACTCATAAAGTGATCTCTAGCTGATGCTATATTTGTGTTTCCAGCATGTGCGTTAAGGAAAATATCAGTGTGCAGTGTCTGCTTAGGAACAAGCAACTGATTCACAAAGGAGAGGGAAGAAAGAGTCAAAGAACCAAACCCTTGAGTCCACAGTTTAAAACCATCCATCTGTCCATTTCCTTTACGCTTCTCCTTTCCAAAGTGCCCCGTCCAGGACAGGTCTCCAGTCCATCACTGGTCTACGTGAGACAAACAACCATTTGTGCTCACACCTAGGGGCAATTTAGATTTACCAGTTCACCTAACATCAGGTTTTTTTAGTCCATGTAAGGAAACTGGAATACCTGGAAAAATGCCAGGCTTGCAGGAGGAGAACATGCAAACTCCTCCTGAAAGGCACCAGACAGAGGTCATCCTGCTGAGAGGCAGAAGCTCTGACATGCCACCCCTGTGTTTTATCAGAATCAGAACATTTTAATGTTTTATCTTTCTGTCTACTTTTTTATCTTTTGATATTAAAGAGAAAAGGAGAGAGAGACAGGGATTCTTGATTAGATTGTTTAAGTTTAAGAATAAAAGTGTTCAGGTTATTCTGTTGACCTCTGGCAGGAGGTTCAGCATCCTGAAGACCAGAACCACAAGGTCCTGCAACAGATTCATCCCACGAGCTCTCAGGCCTGAACTCACTAATGAAGGGACCACAATAGCAAACACACACACACAGACATGCAAAACACCAAAGTTTATAAAATGCATGTAAATTATGTACTCCTACACTGCAAGTTTTATATTGTTATTATTATTAGGTTGGACAGGCAGCCTGTCCAGGGTGCACCCTGCCACTCGCCTAATGACTGCAGGAGGTGGCCACCAGCTTCTTGCAAACCAGCCTTCAAAGAAAAGCAAGTAAATGGATAAATGGAGGTTCAAGAAGAAGGGAAAAAATGTATGCAACTTTAATTGACTGCAACTATAAAGTACTGCATTTTGTTACAACAGTAACGTTTGATGATGAATTCTCATGCTCTTCATTAGGCTGCTACTAGAAGTTGCAATTTTTAAGAAAATGATAATAGATTATGGACCTTCTCATGGTAAATTGAAAATATGAGAGTCTGCAGTGAAGTTAGATTTAAAGCAGTTTGATGGCTCCTCAGATAAATAATGTTATTAACTGACTTTTTATGCACATGAATATTCCTGTTCAGTGCATGACTTCTGTTGTGACTTGGTGCTACATAAATAAACTGAACTGAATTGAACTAGGAACACCGTGTTAGAGACGGGATACGTTTTTTTGTTTTATTTTATGGTTGATTCATTTTCCCACAGTTTCATTACAATAAAACCTGCTGTTTTGCTTCAACACAGTGATTTCCAAGGAGCGAAACATCTTCTTCAAGATGGATTATGTAAAGATGATGCACATCTCAGCTTCTCAACAAATATTCGATAGATTCTTCAATTCTTAAGAAATCCCTTTTAAATACAATCCATCTACTGCAGATCACTTTACATATTGTTTTCAACTCATCCGTTTTTGTTTTATTTTTAAAGGCATGTTGAATTTTGCCAAGTTTTCTGCGAGTGTTCAACAAAAATCTCTTTATTGGTAAAGACATAATTTTTTGTGCATGTAAAACTGTCATTGCTGTATTTTTGTAGATGCAGCTGAAGAAATCCAAACACATTCTGCATGTTTTTTTTTAACATATTATTATAAGTAGCTAAAAAAAAGATATTTAACAAAGTTGTGTCCAAACAAAACAATTTGGCAATTTCTTGAGTTTATGTGCTGTTAGTGGCATGTAAGCACATAAACTCAACAGATTATCATTACATGATTTGCTGGACAGTGTCAAATTATAAAATGAATAAAGGACTGGATCATGATTTAACTTAAAAAAAAAAAAAAACAATAATTCAAACATTTAAAAGAGATCCAGCACTTAATTAGGTCTTTAACAAACCAGTTGACTTATAAAAGTATCAAGTTTGATTCAAAAGTCTACAAACTGGTATAAGACCTGAAACATTCATGGGAGCCAAAAATGGTCTCTTTGGGACTTTCATGATGCCAGAGATGAGCTCTAAAATGTTTATATGTCAAACATGATGTAGGAGATTGATTAGATCACATAAGGTTTATTTATATGTGTATTTATTAAGGGAGCTCTAAACTGGGAGTTGGAGGGGTCATGTGACACATATTCAAGAGAATATTTAAATCTGAGGATGCGGGCATCTTTATTTTTTAAATCAGTGATAGAACCTGAAGCTTGAAAATATTGCATTTAATAGTCTGGTCACTGTGACCTGCCTTTTTGCCCACCTACTTGTTGAGGAAGTCTGCAGCCTCGTGCACATCCCTTCTTTCTTGCAGATAAAAACTGCACCCGCTCTTCATTCGGGGAGATGCAGGAGATGCAGGTATTAGTTGTTATCCCTCTCCGGTCTGTGTTTTTGACGGTAAACGTGGGCCTCCCGGTGCCTATTACTGGAGCTGCCAGATGATCGGTGCGGAGTGGAGGTCCCACGGGACACTGAGCACGTGGTCTCGGCTGCCACAAGACGTCAGCGGCAGATGGCATGGGTACCCGCTGTTGGCATGAGTGTCATTCCTCAAAGAGAGAGGGAACCGGAGAGAGGAGAACAGAGGCTGCGCAGCTTTCAGCTCGGTCCTGGAAACACTGAGAAGAAGAAGAAGAAGAAGCTGCAGGGGTGATATTTGGGGCCATGCAACTTGCACGCTGACCAGAGGTTAGTAACAGTTTTACTTATGTTCTGCATTTTAATGCAGTTGAAATACTCCAAACATCTTGTGTGACTGATGTTTTTTTGTTTTAGAATTCCATCCATGTATTTATCTTGTATCATTTTCTGATGTGAAAGCCTCAAACAAATCAATATTATTATTTCACAAGTCGAAAGACAATGCGTGTCTTTGAAAAGGTAAAAGCTGTCACTTTGGCCCAGGTTGCCAGTTTGTTTATTTCCCTCTTGGGAAGGCTCATTCACAAGGTAATTAACTAACAACCTTCAAAAGTCTGTTCTTTGCTCTCATGTTGCCACTCAGTTTTTATGTTTTTATTTATTTATTTTTTTACAGGAGGTATGTTGACTCTGCCATACGAGGAACCTCATCTGATGTGCGAGCCGCGCTTTGGTGCCAATTATCCCCGTGAAAGTTTACCTGTGAGCCTGGCGCAGGAGCGACAGCACAACGCAGACCGCTCCAAGTCAGACATGATGAGGGAGGCCGAGGACGACCTTTCCGACAGGGAGGAGGACGAAAGGGAGGAGGACCAGGACGAGAACGGGCTTCCTAAAAAGCGAGGCCCCCGGAAAAAGAAGGCTGGGAAGGAGCAGGTGGACAGGGCCAAGCTCCGGCGCCATGAAGCCAACGCCCGCGAGCGCAGCAGGATGCACGGCCTGAACGCTGCGCTGGAGAGTCTGCGCAAAGTTGTGCCGTGCTACTCCAAAACTCAAAAACTGTCCAAGATCGAGACGCTCAGGTTGGCTAAGAACTACATCTGGGCTCTGTCAGAGACCCTGAGCGCAGGGAAGAGACCCGACCTCCTCGCGTTCGTTCAGACTTTGTGCAAAGGATTATCCCAGCCGACCACCAACTTGGTGGCCGGATGTTTGCAGCTGAACGCAAGAAATTTCCTCACAGACCACAACGGAGAGGTGATGTTTTCTGGCAGATCCCCCTACGAGGCCATGTACTCGTACGCCGGAACAGACATGAACTCGCCCCCGGGCCACAGCGGCAGCTTGGACACCAGCTCCAAGCCGTTCCGGCACTACGGCTACAGCGGCGCCTACGAGCCCTACTTCGAGAACCCGTCCCCGGAGGGCGGGAGCCCACACTTCGACGGCCAGCTGAGCCCCCCGATGAACTTCAACGGGATTTTCTCCCTCAAACACGAGGAGCCGCCGGATTACGGCAAGAGCAGCCACTACGGCATGCGCTACTGCGGCGCGCCAGGACGCGCGGCCCTGGCACCGAACTCCATGTACCGAGTGTCCCCGGAGGCCCGGTTCCCCTACGACCTCCACGTCCGCAGCCAGTCCTTTCAAGCACAAGGGGAAGTTAATGGCTCCTTCCACAATTAATCAGCTGGACATGTTTCTGTGCACGGATGGTGCGCAGCTGAAGAAAACATGAAGGCAATTTTAACAAGTCTTTTTTCAAATAATCCAACCTTTTTGGAAATATATATATTTAAAAAAACATTTCAAATGGGACGATTTCGTTTGTAAACAGTTCCTGATCTGCTAAATTTATGTTGATTTAAAAAAAAAAAATAGCGCAAAGTTAATATTTGAAGGAGAAAAAAAAATAATTGTATCCCATCAAGTCAGATGTAAAATGTACTTTTTTTTTTTAGTTTTTACAGCAGCTGTCAGTGATTCTAACCTAACAATTACAGTTTAAAAATACGATTTTAGAACAAATATGGAGCAAACATGAAGAAGAAGACACTTAAAGACGTTCTTCTACAGGAAGTTTGGGGTTCAGTGAATCAGTGCGTTGCAATAAAAGTAAATTGAGCTATGCAATGTAGCAAAATGCAATCTTTGCTTAATAGATAGAATAATTGATTTGGATGATGGAAGTGGAAAATGTGTAAGAAAACTTCAGAGACACGTCAACCCCAAAATACTGTAAGTTTATGGGTTTGAAGGGAAAAAAAAAAAGTCAAACGTATTTAAAGTGAACCGTGTGGTCACGATATGAATGTATTTATTTATTTATTTATTTATTTATTTATTTAAGTTTCTCTGGTCCATTCGAATGTGAATAACGTCTATGAAAAAGCGGATATTGTAAAATCAGACAGTGTGAACTTTGTTGTGTTTTCTTTGTTGTACATTTCACCAACAACTGGAACAAAATGTCACCTTAAAAAAAATTTAGAGGAAAAAAAAAGTATGCAATGAGATGAAAGTTCTGGGTTGTAAACTTTTATTATTTACTTATTTATTTATTTATTTATTTATTTATTAATCCTGCTGCGACGCACTTGGCGTGATTCTGCACAATGACTTTGCGCATCAATCCCACCATTCTTTCTTTATTTAAGGTTTTGGGAGGATATCTTTGAATTTATTGCCACTTTAGCTCGTCTGAAACGCACACGCATTACACACGTTCACGCGCACCTCTGGTGGGGGATAAAACTCGTTATGGATCGAACTATTCGTGAAGTAATGTGTTCATGTTTTGTGATGTTTTTTTTTTTTGTTTTTTGTCGCAATAAAATTCTAAATAAAAGAGGAAAAGGAGGAAGAAGAGGCTTTCTGTTGTGGCCCAGCTTCAGCTTTCTGTGGCAATGATCGACAGCAGATGGCAATTAAGAAGAAAATAATAATAATGACGAGAGTGAGAAAATAATTTAAGATAAAAACCGCCCGCAGCCATAAGTTTTATTTATTATTTTCTGAATATGAATAGAGTAATTGTGCATAACCTCTGAGGGATGTGCTCTCTGCAGGCCTGTGAGGGAAAGCAACAAGATTCTCCTTCTGATTAAAAAAAAATAATACCACCAATGAATTAAAAAGAAAAAAAGTATTTTATTTAACTCACATTTTTATGTATAACGTTAAAGCTTCTTTTATGATCAAATGAGCATATCATTCTGACTGACTTCCAGCTGATCAGATGGCTGATTTGTCAGAAATGCGCAGGAGGTGTTGGAATGCGTCCAGGCAGTTCATCCTCCCAGTTTGGAGAGAAGTGGAGTCGATGATCCCCTGAGGCAACACTAAACCATGAGCCATCTCCTCCAAAACAGAAACACGATCAACAGTTTTCCTTTTTATTGGAAATATCTGCTTTATTTCACTCTTAGCAGCTTTTATATGACTCAAGCAGGATGAGCTCACCAAATAAGTCAGTCATTGATTTTATGGTGAGTAAACCAAAAATCCCAAGAAAGCGTGACACTTTTGTGTAAATGGCAGTCATCTTTATCTCACTGTTGAAATCTTGTTTTTCCTTGGCTGAGCCATCATCATCAGTCAAGAAACATTTAGAATGTGTTCACATTCATTGCAGGAGGTCACTAAGTTGCTAAAAACAACAAACTGAGCCAGAAGAGACGTCCTGCCAGCTAATAATGGAGCTTTAAGTCATGCGATCAGATGGAAAATTAAATTAAAGAGAAGCTACACATTTCAAATCCTGAACTCCCATTAACCCTGACCATTTATTTCCAACTAATATGAACCCAGCCTATCAAGTCTGAAGGGAAATATGTCAAAATACAAATTTCAAAGCCCTGTTAAATCTGTAATTGCTGTAAATAAATGGCACACGTGCAACAGTTTGCTCCGTTCTTTTGTGTTTGAGCAACTTTCTGTCCTTCTCCTCCTGGGTTTGATGGTTTTCTCCTCTTCAGCCAACCGGAGTGACGTCAGTTTTGTTGTAAATCATCCCAATTCGACATTTTATTGCAGAGAAAAGTGATGTCACTGTGCTACTGTCTTAACTCGTGAGCACGACGATTAGATCTAATTTCTGCGAACCCGAGAAGCGAATTGATCCCATGAAGCAGACAAACGTTAACGTGTCAATTGAAAGTAGCGTTGAAAACAACACAAAGGAAGCTCGACAAACAGAGGAGCCGCTCTCAATGACAAACCACACAAAATAAATGATTCCCCTCCTTGATGTTGATGTAGACAAGAAATTAAATGTAAAATCAACTCACTAATGTAATTGTATTTTTTTTTTCTCTAACTAAAAGCAGGCTTGTTTTCATTTTACTCCCTTGCTTATCTTTTTTCCTTTGGTCAGGGTAACTAAAGGTTCTTCTGGGGCCTTTAAAAGTGTCCCTGGAGGCCCATTCCACTATAGATCACCAAGCCCATGGACGTTTTCACCACGTGTGTATGTGTGTGTTTTAATTCATGCATGTGTGCTTGTACCAAAGAGAGGCATCTTCAAATTCTTTTTGAGGTTTCACTTGGAGGCCTTGGGGATGGAGAGTGGAGGAAGGAGGGTGCTGCACGCCCACAGAGTTCACAGGGCGGCACGCCGCAGTTTAGCATGGGGTCAAACGTGTACACGCACCCCTACGTTCACGCAGCTCATTAAGCTCAGTGAGACGGAGGGAGAGAGAGACAAACAAGCAGCATATGGCCAGAGCCTGTGTGGGAGGTTGAGGAGAGAAATGCATTATAGAAAAATGTTCCAAAGTGCAAAACTGATCTAAATAGAAATGCAGAAAATTGACAATAAACTTGAAAGCATTCTTCTAATGCAGAAAGAAAGACAAAAATCCATGTCTTTACGTGGTAAATATGGACAGTACTTATGTAGTAGGGGTGTAACAATATATTTACATCAATATATCGATTGAATGATTAACAATTCAGTTATATCGTGGCAAAACTAAAACATCGATTCATATCGTCATCTTTAAAATATGCTTTTATTTTGAAATTCCCAATGCACATCTGTGTCACCATTTCCGTGCGCAGATTTAAATGCCTGGTGCCTGTAATAACAGAAATTAAATGGTTAAATCATATTTGAATTGTTTTTGTCCATTTATTTATATGTAAATGAGATGGGCATTTGATATCGCAATATATCGATAGCAGACTTGTGAATCGAATAGAATCGAAATCGTATCGTGACAGACTGTGATATTGAGAAAAATCGTATCGCCATATAAACAAATCAATATAATATTGTATAGTGGTAAAGCTGGTGATTTACACCCCATTATATGGCGCCTTTCTATGTTATCAAGACACTCAAAGCTCTTTACAACACAATCTGTGCCCTCATTTACCCATTCATACAGCACTCTACTGGATCTATACAACTAATAATCAGAGCTTTATCACATTCATGCACTGATGGGACACACATCGGAGGCAAAGAGGGGTTCAGTGTCTTGTCCAAGGACACGTTGGCATGTGACTGCTGGTGGAATCAAACCCCCAACTCTTGCATTGGAGGATGACTGCTCTAACCACTCGGCCACAGCCACCCTGTTCATATAAATATCTATTTCAGAACAAAAATAACCCAGTTTCGTAGTCACTCGTTGCAAACAGTATCTCTTCCTGCACCAGCGCAAGAAAAATGACAACGATGTTCCCCCGCCACGTCGGCAAGCATCCTAAAATTCAGTCCCATTCCCAAGCCCCAGATGGTCTGGGATGGGAAATGTTCCCCCATTAAATTCCTAATAATCATTTCTCCAGTGGAATCGGGTGGTGGCGGGAGGGGCTGGGGTTGGAGGAGGGTTGGGTGCGACTGTGTGTGTTTGTGTGGAGAAGAAGAGGGTGAAGCGAGGGGTGGGGATGGGAGGGGGGGGGGTGAGAAGTGAGGATTGGGTTGGTGGGTGAGGGGAGTAGAGGGATTTGGTGTTTTAATTAGACAGATTTAAGGAGCTGAACACCCCCCCCCCCCCCCCCC